TTTATAAGCCTGGAAAATCGATACATGCATTAAACCATAATAACAAACAGCTCAAACAAAAAGTCAAAAAATTACAACAGTCTAGGGACCGTGTAATTCATAAAGTTCAAAAACTTAATGGTTCAGTTGTACAGTTTAAATGCAAGCATCGTCAACGCATATCCCGAATTCGTGCCATGGCAAGACGCCCACCAGAATTAAAAAAAGATGACATAAAAACCGTGATTAGAAATATGATTAAAAAAAATAAAAAAGAATATAATTCAAACTTTATTAAACTTACTGTACAAGTTTCTCAAATCGGCCAAATGTCTTTTAATTCTGCAGCAGCTAGTATGAGAACCATTTTTAATTTTTTAACTGGGGATGCGCAGTCTTGGATTTCTGCAGCAACCATTAGCTGGTGGCATCACGAGGTATCAGAATTGCAAGTAAGAAGTATATTCCAGCAAGTTAGTCAATCGACTTATTTTACATTCGGGATCGTCGCAGATGAATCAGGTCGAGGTAAAAAAAAAATATTAGTAGAATGCTTCATGTTTTGGAATTCCGTGAAAAATATGCCGGACATCATACTTTTAGAGACAAAGGATCTACAACGTTGTAATTCTGACACAGTTAGTCAAGCTCTTTCTGAATCTTGTACTAAATATGGCCTTGACACTACGCGATGTCTTACCTTTCTATCCGATAATACAAATTATATGAGTGGTCACATTGGTGGTGCCGTAACTAAGTTCAACCAATTAGCTAAAAGTAATTGTGTCCGAATTCCTTGTGGATTGCACGTATTACATCTAATTTTAAACAATTTTGAGGAAACGGCCTTTGGCAAGCTTCCTGCAAATACTGGCTTTTCAAAGACACAGCATTCATTTAATCTTCTTTATTTAGTATGGATGTTGCATGATGGATACGATCGAAGTGATAAGGATTCACCATTAAATATCAGAAGTGAAACGATTCGTGGCCTTTATAAAGCACGGCTTGATTATCAGTTAACTAAATATCAGCAACCTTTACGATCAAGATGGCAATATGAATTAATTATGGCAGAGCAATATCTTGAACGACGAGAAATTCATGTAGAATTTGTTGCATGGTTTCTTCCAAAATTAAAAAAATTAAAAAAAGTCCCAAGTTTCTATGTTCAAAAATGGGAGATATTTCAGAATTGGTTAAACGATTCTGAGTTAAATATTGAAATACAATGCCTGGTTAAATTCGGTCAAGAATTTTATCGTTCATTCGCTCAATTTCTCGTCGGTTATGATCCTGTACCAAGAATTGTACAACCTGATAATTCATTACAATGTTTGCCATCTGGTCGTCGAGCACATCAAATGCCGGATTTTGTTGTTAACTCGACGCATAACCTTATAAGTACTTTAGAGAATCTTTATTTATTCTTTGGCAGTGAGCTTTTGCAGAGTACGAAAACTATAAATGATTTAAAAATTGAATCGTTAATTCAAAAATTAGAACTAGGAATACAAAAAGGACTTGAATTACAACAAAAATGGTTGAATTGTTGGCTTCATCTTCCCTTA